AGTTTTATAGTGTGAGAAATGAGTTGCCCAGCTTCAGGCGGTGAAGCTCACAGGAGAAGCGTAAGCAAGCAGAATTTCCATCTCATCTGTACATACAGACGTAAACTGACAGGGCTTGGGCCTCTGGATTATAAAATCACAGAATGGTTTGGGTTGGAAGGCACCTTACGGATCATCTAATTCCACCCTCTGCTGCCATGGGCTAGACCAGGCTGCTCAAAGGCCCATCCAGCCTGGCCTTGAACACTGCCGGGGGGGGGCAGTCACAGCTCCTCTGGGCAACCTGTGCCAGTGCCTCAGCAACCTCACAGTGAAGAGCTTCTTCCTAATATCTGATCTAAATCTCCCCTCTTTCAGTTTGAAACCGTTACCCCTCATTCTATCACTACCCTCCTTGCTAAAGAGTCCCTCCCCACCTTTCCTGTAGCCCCCTTTAAGCACTGGAAGGTCACTATAAGGTCTCCCCAGAGCCTTCTCTTCTCCAGGCTGAACAACCCCAACTCTCTCAGCCTGTCCTCACAGGGGAGGTGCTCCAGCCCCCTGAGCATCTTTGTGGCCCTCCTCTGGACTCACTCCAACATATCCATGTCTGTCTTGTGCTGGGGACCCCAGAGCTGGTCACAGTATTGCAGGTGGGGTCTCACTGGAGTGGAGTAGATAGGGAGAGTCACCTCCCTCGACCTGCTGGCCACGCTTCTCTTGATGCAGCCCAGGATGTGATTGGCTTTCTGGGCTGCGAGCACACATTGCTGGCTCATGTTTGGTTTTTCATCCACCGGTATCCCAAAGTCATCCATAGGGCTATTTGCAGCATAGGAATTATATTCAACAATGATTAGTGGTGTGTGTCTGAGTCAAGAGTTTCTACTTCTGGTTATAGTTTCTGTTTATGTTAAGTAAAACAAAATTCACACAAAATTATCAATAGATGTGATTCTGCCATATGTTGTATTAAGTCAGGTATACTGTCATTTGGGGGAAACAAATTTATGCGATTTCTTGAACTATATGTAACATCTTACTCAGTAGCCATTTATGAATATTTCTAGAATTTGTCTTTTAAACTCATATGAGTGTTGATTAGCCATCCTGCAGCAATGTCTCTACAGAGTTCAACTGTGCTGTGAATGCAGATGACTGGCCCTAGTTTTGAGTTGCCACCAATAATTTCATTTGGTATCACCCATTTCATTTATTGGAAGAAATACTGAGTGTTTCAAACTCACTTTTCCCATTCCATGTGTGATTTAATAGAGCCATTTTAAACTTAACAGTTTGTCTTGTGTTTTATATTTAGTGATTCCTTGAATAGAAGCCATTCCAAATCTTCAGCATTCATGTCACCCATCAATGCACAATTTTCCAGTTCTCTTATGTGCTTTTTGAGATGGGAGACCCAGATGCGCAGACAGTACTGAAGATGGCAGTGTATTAATTCATATGGCATCACAGTGTTTTCTTCTTTACCTCCCTTTTGTCCCCGATAATTGGTAATGTACAACTTGGTTTACGGACTGCTATAGAGCTTTTTCAGAGCTGCCTGTTACCATGCTGGAACCATAACGGTCCAACTCAGAGACAGTTGTTACATATTTAAAATTAGGATTGTTTTTCCCTTCATTTTATTTGCACTGAATTCAGTTTGTCATTATACTTCCTGCAAGATCCTTCCACAGTTCTTTGCATTCAGTTCTCATCTTGATTTCTCTGAATAATGTAGTGCTGCCAGCAAACTTTGTAATCTCACCATTTGCCCTCTCTTTTCTCATCATTTACAAGTATGTTGGTCAGCATAGTTCTCAGCACAGGTTCATACAAGAATTGGTTGATGACACCCTTCACTGCAAAAGCTGACCATTTATCCCTGTCTTTAAATTAGTTATCGATGTGAGGACCTTCCCTCTTTTGTTCACTTTTTAAATAATGTAAAATTTCTTAATCTCAAAGTGTTTTTAATCACAAATTATAATCCTGATCAAATGGTTACCTGGAGGGAGAGCAGGTCTATGAGGTGTAAGGGTCCTTGAAGCAGTCGCTGTTTAACTGACAGGATGATCAGCTAGTAAAGCTTTAACAGTGCTACTGTCATCTTCCATTATTACTTCATATTGCTCTTCATGGTGTGAATTGTATTTCCTCTGCCCACAGGATAACACGGTGGCAGGCCTACTGGCTCCTTTGATGATGTTACTCATAAGGGAATTGTAATTTTTGTAATGAAAATCCATAATCAGAAAGAGAGGATTTGGAATCTTGCGCTTGAACAGTGTTGTTCTTTGAGATGTAGGATGTCTGGTTCTAGGATAGCTTTGAAGTAACCGCATTATTCAGTGCAACATTTTAAAAGTACTATAAAACCAGTAAAAGTTTAGGAATGAAGAAAAAAAAAAAAGGCTTAAGTTGCCTTTGCTTTCTTGCTGGTGCTAATTTCTATTTAGTAAAAAAAACCCCTGTACTAAGCAATCGTGCTTTCACTTCTCATCCAAATGTACCTAAGCTCAGAAACCTTCTGATACAAAGTAAAACCAGTAATTTTGTTTTATGTTTTCTTATATCTGGCAAGTATGTCTTGTTTTCTAAATACATAATGCTAGCATTTCTCCTCCTTAGTGGTCCTAAAGCCAAAATATATGGATAAACCTATTTCAGTTTTTCCAGTCAGTGCTGTCTACTCAAGTCTCTCATGATTTTGTTTTATTTTGTAGCAACTTCCCAGAAGCAAGTAGCATAGGAAAGTGTTTTGTTTTACATTGTCTAGCCCAAAGATGATACTCAGTCCTCCTTCCTGCTGTCTAACTTGGTTGGTCTCATTTGCTGTCCACTCTTGCCTGTTTCTGGTAACATTACTGTTCTGCAAATTTCCCATTTTCCGCTGGAGGGGTGGGAGGGGGGAAGTACTTTCCACTTAATCTTTGGTTTTTCTGTTTTGCATTTCTCCCTTTTTTTCTAGATCCTTCATATGTGGTTATTTCTGCCCAAAGGGTGTTGCTAACGCATGATTTGGTATCAGCTACTATTTTTTCTCTCTCACTAATGAAATTGTTAAATAATTATCTTATACCTGCAAAACACGGGATTTTATACACTTTGAAACAGCTGCAGTTTCATAATTCTTCATATAAATAGTTTTTACACTGTCTTGTTTTGTAGCCCAGAAATATCTTTCTACATGGATCAGATTATCAGGTAAAAATAGGAGACTTTGGATTAGCCTGCAAAGATCTTCTTTGGGATGATGCAGACCAGTGGTTTAAGACAGAAAGGATAAATGGTAAGAGAAAAAAGTTTAATGGGTTTCAGTGTTTTAAGTTTCTGTGATATTAAAACCGTTAAATATTAAACACTTAAGTGAAATGGTAACAATGTCACACCAGCTGAGTAAGTCTAAATTGCCTTTTTAAAGGCCTGACACATACTTCAGGAGTGGGGACTTGCCTCTATGCCTCACCAGAACAATTGCAGGGATCTCGCTATGATTTCAAGGTAGGGAGTATTTTTTTTTTTCTATTAACATGTGATGATAGATAATAGGAATAAAGGAAGCATTTCAGTAGGTAAATATATATTTGGTGAATACATAAATATTTCTCCTACTGTTACTCCTAATGTTTTTGTTGAAACATGGATTTCAACTTTCCCTTCTAGTTTGCTACTAATGCAAAAATTATTTGTTTCTAAGATCATCTTGAGGAATGTATATAGATTTGAATTTCTTACTTTAATAGCGTCATGATACTTTTCATATCGTTGTGAAACTTCATTGTTGTGAAACTCTTCCGTATCATGATTTTTTTATGATAAAAAGAAACCTAGGAAGTAATTAAAAATAGCAGTTATCCCAGAACTTTTTCTTCACCCCATTACCAGTCAGACATGTACAGCATGGGTGTTATCCTGCTAGAACTCTTCCAGCCATTTGGAACAGAAATGGAAAGAACAGAAGTTCTTACACATTTAAGGAATGGCCAAATTCCTCATACTTTCTACAAAAAATGGCCTATTCAAGCCAAGTATGTTAAACTCCTCACCAGTCAGAGATCTACAGAAAGACCAACTGCTGCTCAGCTTCGTGAAAGTGAACTATTTCATACCACAGAACATGTAAGTTATGCCAATAACCTCAACCTTTATGGGATAAAAATCATAGAATCGTTTAGGTTGGAAAAGACCCTTAAGATCTTCGAGTCCAACCGTTCACCCAGCACTGCCAACTCCACCACTAAACCATGTCTCCAAGCGCCATATCTACACATCGTTTAAATACCTCCAGGGATGGTGAATAAACCACTTCCCTGGGCAGCCTGTTCCAGTGCTTGACAATCCCTTTGGTGAAGAAACTTTTTCCTAATGTCCAATCTAAACCTCCCCTGGCACAACTTGAGGCCATTTCCTCTTGTCCCGTGGCTTGTTACTTGGGAGAAGTAACCCCCACCTCACTACAGCCTCCTCTTAGGTGTTTGTAGAGAACAATAAGGTCTCCACTGAGCCTCCTCTTCTCCAGACTAAACAGCCCCAGTTCCCTCAGCCACTCCTCACAGACCTGTTCTCCAGACCCTTCACCAGCTTCATTGCCCTTCTCTGGACACGCTCCAGCACCTCAGTGTTTTTCCTGTAGTGAGGGGCCCAAAACTGCACACACTGTCTGAGGTGAGGCTGAGTACAGGGGGACAATCACTTCCCTACTGCTGCTGGCCACACTGTTTCTGAAAAGAAATATAAAAGGAATTTGTTTCCTTTGTTTCTCTGCCTGTAATATTCTTTTTTGTTTTAACTTAAGAGAATTGTGTGATTGATAGTTTTTAATACAGGGCACTGTATTAATGTTTCTGGTGTCTCTGCAGTGAGATAAATGGTGATTAGGTATAGGTAACTTTATGAAGACTGGACTGTTGATTTCAAGCTTGAGATATTTTTATGGGTCAGAAAGGCTTTTCATTCTGCAGAATCTTTTTATCATTTTCCCTTTCCTTTTCACACTTTTTTGTTTGTGGATTAAGTTGTATCAAATATGCAAATAGCTGTGGTGCTGCAGCATGTGTCTGTAGGGGATTGTGAACACAATTCAAATAGGTCGGTAAGGCTTTATCCTTGCCCGTCTATAAATGAAGTAAACTGACTCTCATTTTCAGGTTATTTCTAACCTACAACAGAAGGTGAGAGAGCAAGAGGAAGAAATAGAGAAACTGAGAGAGAGAATAAGGCTGCTTTCTGAAGAACAAGACGAACATACGAGACTAGGTTCTCCTGTTTAAGTACAGGAAGAAATAACCTCTATTGTATGATAAGTTATATAAAATGTTTCGGTTTTTACATAAAATATTTCAATGCATTTTAATTTTTCTGTCTCTTCTTGAACAGTATTCATCTTTTTGTCTTAGTTCAGAACTCCCCAATCAACAGAAAGAACTCATGTTGCACTTAACCTCAATACCATTTAACTTGTGTAAATAAGCATTGGGGTTACAGGGAAAAATAGAAGGAAAAATTACAAGTGCAGCTTGTATTTACACAGGAGAGCCTTGTAAGAGAGCCCTTGTAATCATTAAACAAACATGCGTGTTATGCATCAGTTACAAAAAAGGAATGTCACACCCAAAGGTATCTGTAATGTTTTAATTGATTTTAGAATTGTGTCCAACTGTGTAGTACTTGAATACATCTCAGAAAGGAGTCAAACCACTACAGGCAGGAGCTGGAGTAAGGTTCAAATTACAGCATTATGAAGAGCACAGGTTTACTTTAGTAGCTTTATAACAGAGCTGAAAGGTGGCAAGTTCTCACACGACTTCATCCATTTCTGCACATTGGCTGGGGCAGCATTTGCACTACCTGTCTGCTGAAGCACACACCACGCAACAACGTCTGCTACGGTGAGTTCATTTCCCACCAACCACGATGTCTTGCCCAGGGCAGCGTTCATAGAGCGCAAGACTGCTCCTCTTTCCTTACTGCTGCCTTCTTTTAGCTGGAAGATGGCTGTGTCAACCCAGCTGTCAATCAGAGTTGAAGTAACTGCATTGTACTTCTGGCCAAACAGGGAAAAGAGGAATCGAGCGATGTTCCCCTCTCCTTCAATAGGGCACATGGTTTGAATGCTAAACTTCATCTGGGGTTTTGGAACTGAAATTAAGAAAAGAAAAAAAGTGAATACCATGTGGTAGGTAAATACAACGGTAATTCTATTGTGTATTTTATTTGTGATGCCAGTAACACTGTTAACATCATTAACTTAATGAACAATTTTGTTTTCTTAGTCTAAATATTTAGACTAAGACAGGAACCTGGGATAAAGAGATTACTTTCTGCAAACTTCAGCCCAGTCTCCCACCTGATTTCTACTCTAACTTATTTGTAGAACCTGAAAAAACACTCCTATAAAAATATCCCGTGGGTACAAACAACCTTGTAAACGCCATGTGTATTTTAGTAGCAGTAACCACAAGCAGGAATCTTCCTCCTCTGTCCCCATCATTGTTCACAGCTATAAAGAGCTAAAAACGTTACCAGCAGTACGTACCCATCATGTGTCAGCACAGAGACACAAAGAATCTGTTGTCAAGGTTTTATAACACAAGTTTCATTTTCTCACCTATTGTAAAATACTGATCTCTGAGGGAACTTCGTTCTTACCATCCTTCCAGATGAGAGTAAAGCCCAACTGATATTCATGACGTGGCTGCTGCTTAGTCTGCTCTCCAAAGCATTTCAAGAGGTTTTCTGGCACATTTTTCACCGATGAATGTGTGTGAACAGCTGATAATATTTTATAGCGTTCACAAAGCAGACTGTGTAGTACTAATAACGACAGCGGAGGTACAGAAGGATTTGCATTGATTACAATATCTTTCAGGGCACCATAATCCTGAATGGAAAGTAAAAGGTTCA